TGTTGATGTCCAGCTTTGATCTACAACCAGCTTGAGTTTACTTTTATGCACTGCTGAATGCTGCCTTCAGCCTCAATTTCAGAGCTGTGCAAATAAATTACAGCGATGTGTTTAATTAAAGTTCGTCTCATGTCCTGATTGCAGACTGTTGCCTTCTCAGATACAATTTGCAAATATATTTTGGAGTTTTATTTTAGGCAGGATGACTAGTTGAAGGTTATTTAATTGTGATTGATTGTGCATGGGATGTTTCTGCTGCCTTTATTTTGTGAAAATAGTAGCTGAATGCTGAAGGACAAATGAAGGGCATTTGTAGTGAAATGTAGTGAGTCTGAACAGTTACAGAACTGAGTGTTCATGCTTTTAGAATTACATATGTGTGTTTTGGAGAAATTGCCTTAATTCTAAGGAATGTACAATATTTATTAACATTAAATATTTAGTTTTATTCAATACTTGGAGTTTCTTTAGGGAATCTATTTCTGAAACCTTTTGGTGGGTAGGCAGGAATTGTGAATATGAAAATATGAGGAATATGAGCGTGACTGTGTCATTTTCATGCCTGCAGCTTCCACGGGCGTGAGATCCCCCATAGTTTGTGCAGAATCCATTCATTAATATGGGTCAGGAGCTTGGTATTTGGTAAAATTCATTCATCATTTGAGGTTACTGAACTGTGGCACTACCAACAGGTAGCATGAAGAGGAGAAGACTTTTCACCACAGCCATTTTGTGGTGAACATTTCATTTCATTTCAGCACAGCCATGCTGCTTTGGGTTTGTTTTCTGCCAAGCTTTTAGGAGCTCAGTTTAAGAGCTACTTTCTTATCTGCACTGACTGCATCCTTATTTTGGTGGTCAGAAACATCCCTTCCTGGGTGTGCCACCTTTGAGTTTTGTGTTGGACTTTTTGGGTTTTTTTCCCCTCAGTTGTTTCTTCCCTGAATCTTTTTTTGCTGCCTTGTGGGTAAATCAGCTACAATCTGTCTCTCAGGCAGTGGTTTGGGTACAGATATATAATGCTGTTATTAAATCCTTCTCCTCAGTCAAGTGGACTGGTGAGAATGTGATATGACAAACATATTTCTGTTATTATTTTCAACCTCTTTTTCTTATTCTTTTTAATTGCCTCTGAATTTGCAAGAAAGCAAGGTTTAAAAATAGTGTCCAGCATCTTCAAGACCCCAGCTGCCACCTGCTTCATATAGTTATTCGTATTTTTCCTTTGCAAGACATATTTTCCTCTGTGTCATCCTTGACTGGATGAAGTGTACTCTTTTTTTTCTGTTTCATTTTGGAGATAAGTAGAAGAAATTAGTTAAAAGTCCCTGACTTTCTTGATTGTTGCATTTTCAGAGTATTTGTCTTTTCTGTTTTGGAGGAGATTCTGTTAGAATTTCTAAGATGGAATGTTTACAACTCACTGAGCATCATCTTGGGACTTAGAAAACTAATAAGTTGCCTAACATAAAATAATTACTTTTCCTAAAAATGTTTGTTTTATTACCTACCCCTACTTCATTTCATGCATGGGGGAATACTACTGAACTCCACAATGCACATCACAATTTGCTCTAAATAGTCATATCTTTCAAACAGCGTAGCTTGAAATGATTGGAGGAGTAAGTACCTCATTCAGATGGATAAAACAACTCATTCTTTAGCAGTTTCCCAGTTTTAGGGTAAGAGGATTTACTGTGGCATAGCTAAACCAAGTAGACAAGTGCTCTTTTTCGGCACCTGATAAAAGGATGAGTCCTCTTTTGTTTTTGAGCAGAATTATCCTACCACAGGAAAGCAATTTATCAAATATGAGTAGTTGGGGGTGGGGTTTTTCACTTTTCAGAAAGCTGGTACGTGTAAAATGAGGATTATGTCATGTTGTAGGCATTTCTAAAAACAGAAATGAGAAATAATAGGAAATTTAATCTTTATTATTTTTGGAGCTTTTAGAAATGTTGTGACTAAAACATGCATCATGCATCATAAATGGTCTGTCAGCTTTTGAATGGATTGTTAGGAAGGTAGAATGTCTGGATTCAATAGGATTCTCCACCATTATTTTGAGGTAGTATATTTTCAATATTTAATTTTATATTAGAATTTAGGGTCCCAATTAGTTGAGCCACAGTCCACTAAATAAAACCAAAACTAACTACTCTGAACTATATTGCTGTACTGTATTCCATGAGATTTTATTAATACTGCAAATTATTTTGCTTTTTATTACAAATTTTACTTAAATGTATAGGTGCAGAATAGAGGAAGGGCTAAGAATAATTTGCATAACTGTTTTTATAATTTCATGCGTACCTATTACTTTCTGCATTGTATTGCCAAAATGTTACAACTTTGTTCTAAACTCTTCCAGTGAATTATTGACTTCATTTGGCCAGAGATGAGCCATGTGTATTTTTACTTAGGGGAAGATTTAATTCAATTTTTGTTCATCATTTTAGCTGGAGTTAGAGGTGGTATAAGCTGTGCAGACCTCTGGGTACCAAGCTATACATGCTATTTCCAGAATGTGATAACCTTTGACCTTTGACATATCTGTATTGCATGTGGAAGATGTGTGATGAAGCCCATGAAACTCTGTTCTATCACACCCAGCTGCTCCTTCATTATGCAATTTCTTACACATACTCTCAATGCCTGAATGTACTTAATAGCTTTGGCACTGGGGCCAACTTTTAAAATTTGAAGCAAAGCACATGGTTTGCAGAGTCTTTGGGGCAGCAGGGAGTCAACTTCTGTTTTCCACATAATTAAAAAATGAGCTGTGCTTTTTCAGGGCCTTTTTGTGTCTCTGTCTTGTTGGGCACGTGTTTCCTGGGAAAGACCAGTGAGCCTCTCTTGAAGATGCAGTTTGTATCCATAAATTAACTAAGAACATCCAAGGGCAGTTGCTAAGCACATTAATAATTGTGCAAACATGTAGTTTTGTTGTTTACAGAGCAGTGGATAGCACCCTGGAGAAGCAGAGAGCCAAAGGGATGTGCAGAGCAGCAGCACATGAATGTAGATGGGCAGGGAGCTCATTTCCACACAGGCATCCTGCAGAAGCAAATGATCTTCATGATCTTCATGTTTGGGTATTGATTTTGCCTCAGGAAAAGTCAGTGTGCTTCCTCTCATACAAATAATGACAGCCCTGATTTTTGCTTTGGAGAATAGGTGAGGAAGGCATTGGGTCCAATAGGATTAGAGAGAGGAATCCCTAAAAATCAACCTAGATACAACCTCCCATAACCTCTCAAGCCACAGGATTTCTGAGACACCAATAACCATTGTAGCTAATGACATATGTGTAGGTGCAAATTAAAATGAAGATAACAGCTACAGAAAGAGGTAAAAAAATTGTGAACTTAAGCACCCTGGTAAATACCCTTTCCATATCTGAGGTTAGTTAATTCTTTAAAACTGAAGGCATGAAATTAGCTAAAGCATAAAATACCTTTCCCTAATATGAAGTCTTTACTTGATTTTATCCTACTTTTCAAATACTTGAAAAAATTATATTGGCTAAATAGTTTTCTAGTTCTTTAGAGAGATGAAAACCCCCATCTATTTCAGAAGCAACAGTGAAGTGCGAGCTTTCCTGTTCTACATTTCGTTACTAGGTGTTAAATCTGATGTTTTCCTAGTCAGGAGTGTCTTATAACTTTGGCTGGCCTTTCCACATACTTGGTTTGTACCGCACTGATGACATATTGCAGACTTGGAAACTTTTCTGAAGCATTTATAAAGACAGGAATCTTGGCAAAGTTTTTGTATGGTTTCAGCTTGAATGTTGAGATGCAAACTCACACAGATACAGTTTTTTTAAGGGTAAATACTTTCCTAAAATACCCATGTTCAGGAATCTACTAAAATTTCACACATCCTACACATCCAGAACAACTGTTGCTAGAATTTAAACAGTTTGTGTAGGGATACCCAAAAGCAGAACTGTTGCCTTTGGCAATGAATCCATACTTAAGTTACAAAACTGAACTGAAAGAGAAAACTTTTCCATCTTGTACTGCTCCTCTTATTTTAATTTTTAAACACTTATGTAATATTCTTGTGTTTTCTTGTACATGTGTTTTATGTGAGCACTGGGTACAGATTTAGAGGTTCCAGAATGTCCTCAATGATGTCCTGAGAGGTTCATAACATTCTAAAATAGTAATGTACAAGACTGATGATCCTCTTACTTTGTTTGCACCAGAATTTATTGCTGCAAATGTGTGAGAAAAATGCCATTGGTCATTCCTAAATTATATATTTTTAAAAAATACTTGAAAACTCATCTTGAAATATTTTCCATTACTGCCAGTGCTTGACATTTAAAAATAACTTAGAACTTGTTCTATATTTTCTTGCAGAGTCCTAATGGAAGAGCTGAAAATCTCCATGTTCTAAACGCTTTTAGATCGAAGTGATTCTAAATAATTTTAAAAATATGTATTAATAGAAATCATCAGAGCATAGTCTGTTATCACTGCATTTATCTGAGTATAATGCTTGGGTAACTGATGGATTAAAATAAAATAGTTCAGTAGTTAGGTAAGATTGCTGAGGAGTCACAAAATAAAACTGTGTATTGGTGGAGTTTGTGCTACCTGTGTATTTTTAGAAGTGACCAGTAAAATCAGTCATTCCCTGAAATACTTTACAAGACTGATTATTTTTAAGAAAATATACAGAAGTGAATTAGTATCCTTTAAACAGTTTTAAATTCCTGTAGCTAATGAGGGGAATGACTTATCAGAATTTCTTACAATCACTGGGAAAAAAGGAGGGAATAGTTTAACATAGTTTATGAGTTGTGAATTAAAACCACAAAAAATTATCTGTCAGATTGGACTTTCAAGATCTTTGCTATTAGAAGTTGGGGTGAGGCAATTGCAGGGCTCTGCTCAGATGCTTGTGCAAACAGCTTTGTTTCCATGCAGGGAGCACTCCCAGTGATGTGTGGCTGTAACTGTAGCCTGAATTTGTTCTCCTCTTTGCAGGCAGAGCTTGTTGATGTCCAGTATGGGACCATGGAAGACCTGATCCGGGTTCAAGCCATCACAAACGTGACCAAAAAAATTGCACTTTTGAAGCTTGGACAATCACCTTTGCTTTATAAGGTTAGTTACACATCAGCTGAATTATTCATTTGGTGGGTTGGTGTTTTTTTGCCTGTTTTTTTTTCTGTTTCAAAGTACAAAAACAAAGAGTTTCGTATTTTGCCCAATAAGTCAGGACTTGTTGACGTTCAAGTTCTTCCTCAGTACTCACCACTGTCACTCTGAAGTGCCTTTTATGTGTTAAGAGTTGTTTATTTTTCTGTAGATCTTGCAGTGCCCCAGTACTTTGCTGTATTTTCTCTGGGTGTACTAGAAGCCTTTTGACAAACAATGAAATCACTGAAAGAACTGATGAAGCAGGAGGGATTCTGTCTGGAGAGGGTGTACATGGGTGCAGTATATCCATCCTCTCCAACCCCAGCTCTGGCAGAGAGCACAGAGCAGGAGCTCATTAATCCACTTTTGCACTAAACATAATAAACCACTCAACATGTAAACCACATTTAAACTCTAAACATCCAGTAAGTGCCTTCTGTTACAAATATCTTATAAACAAAATTGCTGGTTTGACTTTCAGAAAATACAGAAAGTGTAGTAGCTCAGTAAATGCTTAAGCAATTCATTCCCAATTCACAAAAGCAATTATAAAAGAGCAGTGACTCCAGATCTTGCAGTTAAGCAAATCGGGACCTGCTCTGTTGGCCACAGAAAGCTCAGCCAGGACTTCAATACAGATTCAAAAAATAACCACTTAATGTTTTTTTTTCTATAGGAATAAGATTTGTCTCAATAAAAATGCCATTTTCAACTGAGTAGCTTTAGCTGTTTGTTTAAATTATTTAGATGCAATTTAATTACGCCTGCGAAAGGTCAGTTGTCATTGCTGGGGCTCGGTTGTTGCCCATCATTTCCAGCAATAGATCTGATCCTGCATTTCACTGCTGACAAAGCCAATGAAACAGCAATCAGGGCTCATAAAGCAGGGATTTGATAAAGATGTAAAGTTTGCTGTAGCAGCACTGTCTGTGAGATGGACTTTTTACCAATTTGTGTTCCTGTGTACACTCACTGTGTCTGAATTACTGAGCAGCCTGAAGGAGAAGAGAAAACCAGAAGGTGCTGAGGACAAGACACATCTCAGGAGCTTTTTTTTTGTGTGGATTGGCTGTAGCCTGGTCCCAAATTGGGCTGTTAAATGGCTGAGGTGCATCAGCTGCATTTCTGGTGCTCCAAAAGAATCAGCTTTGCACATTCAGAGTATGTTACACAGAGCAAACCAAAATGTGGTGTGATCAGGAGATTGACTCAAATGTGTGCTCAGGGTCTGAGGTAAAATTGCAACCACCCAAACCTCCTTTCCATGTTCTCCTCACAGAAGGTTTGCCATTTTTCTTGAGTCTCTAAACTACCCTTTTCTAGAATATAATTTGTGTCTCTTTGGCAGTGGAATAATTGTAAGCTTTACTTTGCTTGTAACTATCAGTAAAGGTGTATAAAGATTATCAGAAGTAGATTCTCCTTTTCTAAGGAATATTTGATGTGAAATATTGCCTTAAACTGCAAGTCCTGCTGGTTTAAATGAGCCCAGTATCTCTCTGCTGAATCCACTCTTTGTATCTTTTTCTCTCTCCTAATGTTTATGTTTCTGTACTTACTGAGTCTCACATTTCTGTTCCAGCTGATACTTCCCTCTCCCTATATTTTCCTTATCTCTGCCTTCCATGTGCTTGGTTTTAAATCGCATTAAAACAGGGCACTAGTTCATAAGAGAGCTGTGGCTATATAAACATATATACTTAGTGAGTTTCTTTCCACTTTTTGTATTTAACTTGTATTTTTCATGTTAATTTCCTTTAATTTTTTCATTATTATTACTTTATATTATGCAAGTATCTCACTCTGGATTTGAGTCTTATTATTATAGACCCTGCACTGATGTTCCATCTTCATAACAGTTTCTAATTATGTCTCTATTTTTCAGTTGTATCTCCTTTGCACAGTTATGCTTTTTGTCTCTCTCTCTTTACTGCTGTTTTTTGTGTGTTTTTTTTTCTATTTTCCCCTTTCGTGTATTTAATTTAACTTTTAAAAAATGTTTGATTGTTCTTTTTCTCTCTGCTGAGTTCTTTGGAAAAAAACCTGAAAGAAATAATAAACTACTGCTGGCAGAAAAAAAAATCACCATGAAAACTGAACAACATTTCTTTTGTTTTTACATCATATTAAGAGAAAGGATGTGCTGGTAGAAAAGAGTTTCATGTTCAAGGGGCTAATTTACAGAACTCAGTCCAAGTAAAGGAAATTTGAATATTTGGAAATATAGTTATATAAATGGCAGTATTTTTGCAGTGTAGATTTAGTTTATAGAGATTGGATAAGGTACAAAATTGGGGGAGGATTAAGGTTGAAAATAATTTGGAACTTGTACTTTCAGTCTTTCAGGCTGTGCCCATCTCTCATATTTAGACACTGAAAACAACAGAGTTAAGAGCTTGGAATAATTTGAAATTGGAATGTACAGGGAATTTGGAGTAGGCAGAAAAGCCTGAAGTTAATGTGCTGTTAAAATATGCAGTTTAGTCTTAAACATGAGTAATTCTGATTAAATTCCATAAGGTTCATAAATTTAAGCTGCTTTGTGAGAATGAGATTTGCAGAAATCTGACCTGGAGTTATTTTTGCAATTGGATATGATTTTCAGATTTCACTGGGAGTGTTGTGTTTCTCTTCCACTGGATCAGAGCCTGGTTTCTGGTCAGGATGAGAGGGGCAGCAGCCCTGGCAGTGGCACCTGCCCAGAGCCACAGAGACACATCCTGATGCCTTGAGCTGGACCTTTTCAAACAAAGAATGTGTTACCTCAGCCACATCATAAATTACAGCTATAAAGAGAAAGAACATGGACGCTACCTTTATAGCAGGGTATCCACAAGAGCAGTGACTCTGGGGAGGGAAAAAAACCAAAACAAAATAAAAACCCAAGTAGTTTACATTGCTATGATTAAAAAAAAAAGGAAAGATAAAAATGTGTTATGTATTTTATATATATAAAAATTAAAATATCAGAGGGGAGCAGGGGCTTGAGAAGGGGTTTTCACCATTTTTGGTGCACTAAGATCAGTTAGTGAGCAAGACTCTGTTATAGATTAATATGAAGAATGAGGGAAAAGGAAAGGTAGAAATGTGAAAGGAGCAGGCAAGAGTATTGCAAAGGCAAAATCCTTTTCAAATGCAGCTGAAAGGTTCAGGAATTTACTACCCCCAGCACCTGGAGTGGCAATTTCCTATAGCGGGACAGACTGAGGCAGGGGCTGAGCTGGGGGGAGCCCTCGTGGGACAGGGAACTGGGCACAACCAAGTCTTTTTGGTCTCATTAGCCACAATAACTCACAGTGCTGGAAAACTGGCAGGAGGAAAGAATTCAAACTGTTTCAACAGCTCCTGAAGGGATCTTGTGACTAGTCTGAGACATTTGTAAGATCTGGGTTGCTGCTGAATAAAAAGAGGGCTGGATTAAGGAAAAGTTTTCTTAAACAGGGAGCTGAAATGAGACAAATACAGAAGCGAGGGAATTGCCATGAAAAGGACACATTTTCTCACACCTTGAGATTGAAGGTGTCTGTCTCCTGGTGCCCTGGCTAGAAGGAAAATTTGTGTTTTGGTGGAACTCTGGTTATTTGGGTCACTGGTGAGGTTGAGTAGCCAATCAAGGAGGTCAGAGCAGCCTCCTGGTGTCCTTGAAGCAGGAGGATCTATAAATGTGGCTGCTGAAAGATGGGGAAGTTTATTACCAGTGATTAAGCAAATCTCTCATGTGGTGTAGAGCACCTCCTTGAGAAAGAGCACCTTGAGCTGCCCACTGTGTTTGTAGGCAACTTATTCTAATTGTGCAAAATGTGTGGTGGCAGAGATTGGCAAAAGCACCTTGGTATCACCCAGCCCCTGTGCCCTGGAGCCCATCTGAGTGTGTGCCGCTGCTCTGAGCACGCTGAGGAAACCAGAGGAGGCTTTTTCAGGGTGAACTGCACAGTGGTTTCAATATCCAGCCTCTGGAAATGTCATTACCAAATTCAATTTTTGAAAAATGTTGTGTGTCTTGATCATGATTTAATCTTTAGGGGTTGCAATTCGTGAAAAAACCATAATTTTTGTCTTAAATTAACTTTTAATAGAGTAACAAAAGCCCTGAAGGCCAAACCACTTCATCTTTAAAATGTTCACATATTAACATTTTTTCCACATCCATTAAATGAAGATGTTGTTCTACTGTGTAAATATCTGTATTTATTTTAATAATTTACTGCCTTCATAAATATTCATAAAATTGCTTTTTAACTGTCATAAAGTTTAGGAATGTGGAGACTTGGATTTTTATGCAGAGGTTATTGGCAGGCCCTTACAGATAAGGGTTTGCTAAATAGAAAATATTAAAGATTCCCAGAATAAAGGTAATTTGCAAAAGGGCTTCAGTTTAACAACTGTGTTAATTTTAAATAAGTTTACTTTAGAAAAAGTAATTTCACTTTTCTACAATGTCTACATTGTTTATTTCCTTGTTCCCTCTGGTAATTTTTATGGCTAGCACATACAAGTGTGAAGATGATAGTTTGCATTGTAAATCTCCATTTAACGAGGACCCTCCCTTTCCTTCCATCCCTTTCTCCCTCCCTAGAGATACACAAATATATGTGTGTATTTTTATATACATATATACAGTGTGTGCATATAAAGATACAAATAAAAACTATAGTAAAACCCCAAACATTTTAAAGGGAACATAAACACTTGAAATGCATTTCATTATAAAGGACACTGGGGCTTTGGTTGGGGTTTTTTGTGACCTTTTTTGGATGGTAGATTTTTTTTTGAAGGCTCCTAAAGTCTTTGTATTATATACACACATTTCCCCATATGAGCGCTATGGGACTTTTAATGATATTATATCCCTTCCTAAAGCCCTTCTCAAAAAGTCAAGCCACAGATATAGGCAGCATAAATAAAAATTATAGAAACATGTAAAGCTATACCTGGGGATCTGGACCTGAAGGGATTATCTAGTA